GGGACCAGTCTCGTACCAGTTCTCTGCTGCTGTACTTGTACTCAGTGTGACTTGCCGTTTCGGCATTGGGAATCCAAGACTTCGACTTTGTGCCTTGCCACTGTGTCTGCGTCCAACCCTCAGTCCGAGTCCGTCGTGTCGAGTGAGTGAGTGTGTGTGTGTGCTCTCACTCTCTCCCTCTCTCTCTCCTCTCCCTCGGCTCACCCTCAGCCTCACTCCCGTTACAACAGCAGCCACCGTTCCGCTACGGTGTGAGGTCATCCATTGCAGTAATTGGCTGTTGAGGAGGAATATCATCGACTTTGCAATGGCAATTTTGCTTGTGGCTTTTGTTTGCAGTGACAAAAGACCAATGATACGAGTACAAGCCACATTGATACAACAACGTAGAAATCATGGCATCAGTTTTTTCCCATGCATCTCCTCTCTCCAAGAATATAGACGTCTCACACCAACAGGAACAAGCTACTAATCCATGCATTTTTTTCTCTCGCATACACTTGCTCACCTGCTCAAAGAAAGGAAACAGACCGGCACCATCCGCCTCGCGAAGATCACTTCCCATGCAGCTGATTAAGTATGGTGTGTCGATACTAAAAAAGCAAGTCACACTCCCATCAGGATACCGACTGCCCCGCCTCCCTGCTCTCCCTGCGATCTGTTTAACCTAGAAAACCAATACATCACAAAACAAAACAGTGGCTGAAGGGTAAGGTTGAAGGGTCAGGTTGAAATTTAAGGGTCAGGTTGAAGGGTCACATTGAAGTTGAAGGGTCAGGTTGAAGGGTCAGGTTGAAGTTGGAAAGGTCAGGTTGAAGGTTCAGGTTGAAAAGTCACATTGAAGTTGCAGGGTCACGTTGAAGTTGAAGGGTCAGGTTGAAGGATCAGGTTGAAGTTGGAAGGGTCAGGTTGAAAAGTCACGTTGAAGCTGAAGGGTGATGTTGAAGTTGAAGGGTCAGGTTGAAGGTTCAGGTTGAAAAGTCACATTGAAGTTGACGGGTGACGTTGAAGTTGAACGGTCAGGTTGAAGGGTCACGTTGAGGCTGAAGGGTCAGGTTGAAGTTTAAGGGTCAGGTTGAAGGGTCACGTTGAAGTTGAAGGGTCACAGGTAAAGGGTCAGGTTGAGGGTCAGATCATTTCCAATACAGCTGATTAGATATAAAAGCAAGTCAGACTTCCATCAGGATTACTGAACTTCCTTGCCTGCCTGCTCACATTGCAATCTATTCAACCTGGCAATCACATGATGACAAAAACAACAGTTGAAAGGTGGTGTTCCTTGGTCAAGAACATTATGGAAGGTTAAACAGCCTGTCAATTTGGCGGTACGGAGAAAGAAGAACCCTCTACTCAGGTGTGATCACCGTTCTCTCCTTGTATCCTAAAAGCAGTAATGAGCTGTGTATCTGCCGGGCTTGCAGCTTAAGGTCAGCTAATAGATAGCAGATTCGCACAGACAATAATGTGCCGGCCACCTCTCTCTTCCGGTCTTTCTCGCCTACCCATTCCACATTCTACCTTTCTTCCTTCTTCATTGCCTCCCTTCCACCTTTGCCGAGGCACCCGCCATTCCCCCTCTGGATCTTTCCCCCACCAGTCCACTTTTCTCATCTCTTCTCTCCTTGTCCTGTGTCGGTCACTGTTCCCGACTTTCTCCGCCTCTTTTTCTTCTCCATTGGGATCCTCTTTGAGATCCAATTCCTCGAATACTTGATGTGGCTCCTGTGGATCTGGTATGTCCTTTCCTCTCTTCCTCTTTCATTCTCTGTTTTTGCTCTCTCCATCACCTGCACATTGCCACATTCGCATTTACCCTTACCCCTCTCGTGATTCAGCCCCTTGCTCATTATTCTGCTCTATCCTTTCCTTGCAATCTTTCCCCCTCCCTCCACGCTGAGCCCCTCGCCACGGCGGGCGAATCCACCTATTTCGTTTCTAGGTCGCATGTGACAGAACTCTCCACCTCTTCACGCACAACGCACATATGGTTAACAAGGGGCGTTATTTTCGACGAATTTTGCACCGAATTGCACCGAAACTGTCATACTGTGCTGATTTTTTGTTTTTTTTCTTGTTTTCCTTTTTGTGTAATATATATGTGCTTTAGGGTACGTCATGTGTCCAGTTTTGACATGTTTGGATCAATGATGAAAAAGTTGGCATTTCGTTGAATTCGTTGGATGCTTCATTTTGACTCGGACGGTGTCTTTGTGTTAGGGTTTCATAGTTTTCTTTTGTTTTTTTTTTTCGTTTTTTTTTGCCTGTTTCCTATTTTTGATGTTTGCACTATGGACTCATAATACTCATATCGTTTGTTTTTTAAATTTTCGATGAAATTCGCACTGAAATTGCCAGCGAAAATGGCGAATATTTGGCCACCCGTTAACCATCTCTCGCACAACGTCGATGAGAGAGAGAGAGAGAGAGAGAGAGAGAGAGAGAGAGAGAGAGAGAGAGAGAGACAGAGAGAGACAGAGAGGTGACCGCAGGGAGAGAGGCTGCACTTGGCCACACCGACGGAATCCACCTATTTCTTTTTCTAGCCAGATTGTGAAAGGACACTCTCCCCCTCCTCCACACTCCTCTCCAAGTACAACACCGCTGTAAGGGAGGGAGAGAGAGAGAGAGAGAGAGAGAGAGAGAGAGAGAGAGAGAGAGAGGGAGAGAGAGACTGCGGTGGCTGTTTGAACGCAGCCCAACGGAGCGTTCAAACAGCTGTCGCTGTTGCCCGCATTTCTGGAGCCTTTCCAGAAAATAAAATCCCAGAGAAAAAGTCTGAAAAACACGACGCGTCTGTGCACTGTTGAAATTCAGACCCAAGTCTCGCCGCGCCACTCTAGCAAATATAATTGCAGCACCATACCTTTCTCATTTTCTAGAGAAACGTTCATTCTCATTTTGCACATTTGGTGAGCTTGCAGAGAGGCCTGCCGACACAAATCCCCAAAAGAGCAAAACAAAAGGGAAGGCGAGGCCCGCACCAGTCAAAAGAAAAATAGAAATGAACTTTCCCTGACACAGCGACGCAATTTGCTTTTGTTTCCTTTTTGTTTTCCTGTCGGATCCACCAGTTTTTTTGGGGGGGGGGGATCGGGTCCGCCGGTTGAAATCGCGGCGCAGGGCAGTTTCAACGCGTTCAAAGTCGCATTTTCGGCATACCGTTGGTAGTTGCCAGAAAACACGCAGCTCGTCGTACAGCCAGTCTGTTGCATTTCAGAAAGTGAGATGCACTGAAAGCCTAGGATCTAGCAATGATGAAAGTGGCAACAACCAGCAGCATAGGTGCAACATTCACAAGGTGTCAATGTGCGCGATGCAAAGAGTGAAACAACGAGAAATCAACAACAACACATTCGTATCATTATCATCATAGGCYGGGAAGCAGCGCAGCGGAAGATTTAGTATCAGAAGGACACGTGGACAGCGAAACATGAAAGGGAGAAACTTCGGAAGGGCAAGACATCAGAAAGATTGCCCTTCCACTCACACACATGGGGAGAGATCCRTAGACATGCGAGAGAGGAGGGGGAGGGACATAGCAATCAAGTCCAACCCAAGTCTGATCTCCRAATGTCGTACACAGTTCAATCCCAATGTAGAGTGTAAGTCCGATCTGAATGTCGTGTCCAAAGGCAGAAGGCCGTGTCCAAACAATGTCTGCAGTTACCTCTATCTCTACTCTGATAAAGAAGAAGAAGAAGAAGAAGAAGAACTTCGGAGGAGTAGGAGGAGAAGAGGAGAGGAGAAGAAGAAGAAGAAGAAGAGGAAGAAAGCTAGGCGCTTTCTGCACTTACCTGGCGATGGCTGAACTGCAGGTACCGCGGAGCCAGCTATGGCGCTGGTACAGGTAAGTCCTCTTCTCTCTCTCTCTCTCTCTCTAACTCCACTACCCTCCTCGGTGCTGGACTCCTCCAGCGCTGTGCCTCATTGCCGATGAGCAGCGTAGCTGCAGTCTCGAAATAGCGCAGCAGGGAGTCTCCAGAATAGCGCAGCAGCGAAGTTCCTGAACCAGCATAACGCTGGATTTCTCATGGTACCTTCTGTGTCCGAACTGGGCAATGGCCCAGCTTAAGTAGCGCTGGGCCAGGACTGAAAACCCACGGCCTGCGTTCTGGACCGTGCAGATCGAAACTCCGATCCACGGTCCAGATTGCAGGCTTCGAAAACTGGTTCAGTCCTTGGCCTAAAACGGCCTGCCTGGGTCCCTACCGGACGTCCAGGCCCTGTCCAGGATTCAGTTTCCTGGTACCTGGCTTCGAACCGGTCCTGTGCGGGCGTACCCGGCCTCAACGTCGGCCTGGGTCCGGTGAGTGGTATAGCCGCCCCAAGTGCCAGGATGTCTTTTGTATTTTGTCTTTTGTCTTTTGATTTTTTTTTATTTTTTTTTTTGTGTGTGTGTGTGAGAGAGAGAAGGGGGCGGACCGTGCCAAGCTGTCCATTATGTGACTCTGACACGTGCTACTTCGTTTCTTCTTTGCGTTTTGCCTTCTCGGAAATGCTCAAAGATGCTCTCATGTCAATGCTACTCCCGACAAGTCCCCCACGCGAAGAGCAACTGCGAAGTAGACTGCTGATTGTTTCATCATTCATACAATGCAAAACCCCTGCTTCTTAACAACAGTGGCACTCCTATTGTTGTTGGAGGCGACTTCCAACTTCCCCGGGCCAATCATCAATGACATCATCCGAGCCCACCAAAGTGAGACTCGCCCACACACGCATGCACTTATGCACATAGCGAAAAAACTCAACAAGTAAGCACGGGGCATGCATACATGCAAGATGGGTTGATCACAAACATATCCAGAGAACACAGCAAACAAAGTCTGAATCTGAATCTTTAGCTGCAAAAACATCAACGGGACAATGGACAGGATTTTCTCAGAAAAGTGGAGGAGTTCTTGCACATCACAAAACAAAAACGATGCTGCGAAAGTAATGGCTCCCCAAACAAAACACAAGGGAAAAAAAGGCTCGGCGGAATATGATAGGGGAGTTCCTTATGCTTTCTCTTTCT